TGATTTCTTGATAGCAGCCATTCTTCCTGGGGTGAGGTGGAATCTCAGTGTTGTTTTCATCTGCATCTCTCGAATGACCAGTGATGTTGAACATTCTTTCATATGGTTATTTGCTGCTTTTACTTCTTTGTCTGAGAAATATCTGTTCATTTCCGATGCCCATTTTTGAATTGGGTCTTTAAATTTGAGGGGTCTGATTTTTTTTCAGTTCTTTATATATTCTAGATAGTAGTCCTTTGTCTGAGGAACAGCTGCTAAAACTTTTTTCCCATATTGTAGGTTATCTCTTAACTGTAGAGCTCTTTTAATCACCCTTTTATTTTTGTGAATGAAAAAAACCAAGGATTATCGACATCTGAGAAAAACCTATAAGATGAAAGAAAAATGAACAAACATTAAAAAGCAACTTGGAATAAGTGGACACCATGCAAAGAAAGGACAACTGAAAAAAAACCCAGACAGCCTGTCCTTAAAGACAGAGAACTAAAAGAAGACAAACAAAAATGGATGCTTAACAAACAGAAACACTCAGGACAAAATTTTCTCTTAGAAATTAAAAATCTGAGAGGAAATGGAAACAAACAAGAGCCCACCTCAGTTGAAGTTTTTTTTTTCTTTTTTTTCTGGTACTGGGTATCAAACTCAGGACCTTGCACTCACCAGGCAGGTGTGGTGCCACTGAGCCACATCCCAGGCCCTCAGTTGAAGTTTTAAAAGATTAGATAGCTTTCCCAGAATGAGCAGAGATGGCCAGTGGGAGAGAAAAGATGAAAGGAAGAGAGGGAGATTAATTAGGTCTAAAGAAGTGAGGAAATTCTTAACAAAATAATTTGATGCAGTTTCCCAATACTGAAGGACTGAACTGCTAGTTTCTAAGGATAACCAAGTACCAATGATACAGCATAGTAGCCCACATGTAACTTTTTTATCTTACAGTGAACATCTGGTACCATTAAATGTAGAGTTATGAGTAGCAATGCTATGAAATTACTGTTTTGTAGTATATATGTTTATGTATTTCTGTTAGATATTATCTAAAGAATAGAATTGCTGGGTCAGAGAGTATTAATATATAACGTCAAATAATTTTCCAAAGTGGTTGGTGGCTAACAGAATACTGTGCACTGGTTACCAGCCACAGGGAAGGCTGTCAAGACTTCTGTCCAGGCCGGAGATTTAGCTCAGTGGTTCCGCCACCTGCCTTGCAAGCACAAGGTCCCGAGTTTGATCCCCAATACCAAAAAAAAAAAAAAAGAGAGATTTCTGTCCATTGTATCTTGGTATGAGAGTCCCTGAGGAAAACACCACAGTGTAGCCCTGGGTGAAGCAACATGTTACTTACATGCAGAAAAGACAGAGCTGGGGCCAGGGATGTAGCTCAGTGGCACCGTGCCTTCTGGCAAGCTCCAGGTCCTGAGTTCGATCTTCATTACCAAAAAGAAAAAGAAGACAGAGCAAGATCAGTGCCAACTGTGCGTTGGTCCCTCATGGCTAGTAGGCCTTCCGTGGGCCACTGCAGGATGGTTTTCCTGTGTGCACTCATCTTGTGCCACAGTGGAAGGGTGTTCCCAGTTCAGGTAACTTGCAGACCTCGAGTGAAACCCATTTTCATGCAGTGCTGAAGAATTGATGACATTGCAGACAGTGATACTGTTGAAATGAAGTCATTCTCTGAGGGAGAGATAAGAAACTGTAGGAAGGGCTGGAGGAAATAGCTCAGTAGTAGTGTTTGCCTGGCATGCACAAGGTCATGATTCCTTCCCTAGCACCACAGAAAGAAAAAGTTAAGGACAATATCTGGATAGTGGTTATATGATTATATTCATTCTGAGAATTGAGTAAGCTGTGCTTTTATCATGTGTACACTTTCCCCTTTTATTTTGAAGTGTGATATTTATGAACCTGTTCTTATTTCTCTTTTTATCTTTCCTTTCTAGGTTTTTGTAGAGACTCTGGATAAGTGTTTTGAAAATGTTTGTGAATTGGATTTGATCTTCCATATGGACAAGGTATGTTCTCTCCCAAATCAGGGTTACTGGAAAACTAAAAGAGTAGGGTATCACAAGCCATCTTTAAACCTTCATATTATTTCTCTTGGTTTTTCTCTCTAACATAGTTCTGGAACCTGTCTTATTTAATAACTTGATAAGCTGGAGGGTTTTTTGCTAAGCTCTATTAACAGTTTTTTGTTTGTTTGTTTGGCTATACAGGGTCTCACTGTATAGTTCATGCCAGCCTTGAACTTGCTATATAACCCAGGGTAACCTCATGCTTTCGATTCTCCTGCCTCAGCTTCTTGCTTGCTGGGATTACAGGTCACATGACCTGACAGTATTTACAGATGTATTAGTTACTGTCACTGGCCTAGGTGTAGGTGTATGTTACCATGCCTAGCTATTAACAGTTTTAGCGTGTAGTATAAGATTATTACTTGGGCCTGCATCATGGTTCCTCTGTTCCCAGTCAAACTTCTTGGTATAGGGCAACATGCCAGTGGAATAACTGGCTATCTAGCCAAAGGTAAGAGACACAGTTTTGTTATTAAATGAGTTTGCTAGGCCTAGGCCAGTGAGTGTGAAACTTTGGAATACATAACACAGGGGTAAAATTTGTGTCTTTCCTCGGGAGTGAGATGGTAACTAATACATCTGTAAATACTTTCAGGTCAGGTCACACTGTTGGGAAGCATACTCAGAGGCAGAATTGATTTTTTTTTTTTTTTTCCAGTACCAGGGATCAAACTCTGGACTTGTGAGGCAGGCACGATGCCACTGAGCTAAATCCCCAGCCCAAAAGGCAGAATTGAAATGATCCCAAGTAGCATTTTCAGATTTGTTTTGCTAGGGCCCGTGTCCTCTTGTGCCAAGTTAAACACAGGAGATAGCCAGAGAGGGGATGGGAATATTTTTAAATTTCATTTTATTGGGGGGGAATGCCACAAATCAAACTCGGGACCTTGCTCCTGCAAGGCAGGCGATGAAACCACTGTGCTAAATCCCCAGCCCAACATTTTTTTTTTAAATCCAAGAGGGTGCATGGTGACAAAACAGTGTTCACTGGTGACTCAGCTGCTTGCTGTCACTCTAGTCCATGGCCTTTGGAAGGAGATAAGATTTTTAGGAGACTGCTGTTCGATGCCAGACAGTGATCTTTAGTCATCTGTTTTTATCGTGATAATGCAGCTCAAGGTCTCAGGTGCGTTGTAGCTAGCATTGTCATCTAGATGACTTTATTAACATTTTCCATCAGGGTCTTCAGTCGCAGTGACTGCCAGGCAGTGCACTCCTGTTTGGGTGGTGGAAAGGAATAGCCTTTTCTACCAGCATTGGTTTGGCTCTGGGCTCCAGCAGCAGCCAGGTGCAGGAGAATCACAAATTCCTCTCCCTTCTGTAGATACTGGACTCAGGACCCTGTACCACGGGTCTCACAAGGAGTCCAGGCCTCCCTGAAGCTCTTGAGGTATTGCTTGCCCTTTTATGTGAATGCATCCCAGAAACTGCAGCCATGTCCTGGCCCCTTCTCTTTACAGGCACCAGAGTTGGTTTGTGCTCAGCAGTTGTTAAAGATACTGCTACCCTGTCACTTGTGTTGAGGACACCCATCATCAAATTGGCTTCCTCTCTGTACTAGTGGGAAACGAGGGTGATAGGCCTTATTGTTCTTTACCTTCTTTGCTTGGTATTGTTTGTGAGAATTATCCATTTTGTTGTGAATTGCCTTTTCCACAGTGGTTGTATCAATTTATATTTGCACCAGTTGGGGTGAGCATTCTTATTGCCCCATATACTGACCAAAAGTTGATATTCTCAGTATGGTAATCTCAGTACTGTTTCCTTTTTTTTTTTGGAACCGGGGATCAAACTTGGGACCTTGCGCTTGCAAGGCAGGGGACAGAATCACTGAGCTAAATCCCTGGCCTAATCTCAGTACTGTTGACCAAGTTATTTCCAGTTCTTTCCCTTTCAGGACACATGGTGGAATTACCCATTCCTGCCTTAGGAGTAGCTGTGTAAATATAGCTAATGAAATGTCAGTGGATGTGACATGTGTCACTTCTAGGCAAAACTGTAAGAGCCAGTGGACAAATCTCCCTCTTTTCCTTCTTTCAAAGTTGTGTAGTTTAGGCTGGCCTTGAACTCATTGCATACCCCAGGCTGCCTTTGAACAGCCTTCTGAGTGCTGGGATTATAGGTGTGCACCACCACATCCAGCATAAGGGTTTTTAATGATGAAAGGATGTTAAAATTTATCAAAAGCTTTTCCTTCATCTCCTGAGGTAATCACGATTTTTTGCATCATTGTCATGCTACTTTTTTTTGGTATGGGGATCAAATTCGGGACAGGTGGCGGAACCACTGAGCTAAATCCCTGGCCCTCTCACGCTACTTTTTAAGCATCTGTGCAGATGTCTGCTGGGGTAGTAAAGTAATTCCAGTCCCAGCAGTGGACCCTTGTCTTATGAACTCAATCCGTTCCAAGGGCTGGTTTTAACTCAAATTGGTTAATTGCCTTCAAGGTCTCTCTCTCTCATATAATTTTAGGCCACACTTTCTTCCAGGCAGATTTCAGTGTCCTTAGAGAGACATTGGTCTAGGATTTCTCAGTTAATCCCACACAGGAAAGGATGTTATAATGTTCCTTCCAGAACTCTGTATCTGAGACCATCTGGAAGCATAAGCAGCCGGCATTCAGGTTGTGACTCAAGACCTTGGTTGTAAGTTAAAACTAAAATTCCAGTGAAAACCCAAGTTGTTCATATGTCAGGCTGGTCATAACTCAAAGGTCTTCTGAATATTATTGGACATGGCTTTAAGAAGAAATAAAAGGCCATAAAAATGTTGCTCTTCCTCATACATCTTATCTTCACATAAGTTCTATAAAGTATTTTGCTGCTGGTGCAGGTTTTGTTTACACTTTGTAAAACTATTTTTAGCCAGGTGTGGTGGTGGACACCTATACTTGCAGCACTCAGGTTGAGGCAGGAGGATTTTGAGTTCAAGGCCAAGTTGTGTAAGACCACTGTCCTTACCACACGCTCCGAGGAGCTGACTGTAGTGAAGCACACCCAGGGATCCCAGCGGTGCCTCCAAAATGTAAGACCAAGGGCCTTA